CGGTAAGGGCAACACACGTAGAGCCGTCAATATGGGCTAGGCATGTTGGGCCGGCCTGGCCTAACCCGGGATTTAATAGGTTGGGTTAAAAATTTTGGAGCCCATTTAAAAAAAGGGCTTTTTAGCCCGGCCTGAATAAGCCTGCTAATTTGTGGGGCTTGAGAAATATAGGTAGGGCCGGCCCGTGGGCTAATACAAATTAATTAAAAAATATAATATAATATTAAAATTTAAAATTAAAGAGATCCAAACTCAAAATCTATTTAAAGTTTTTTAGGAAATCACTAAGTATAGTAGTTGCATCCGCCATGAAAATGTCCAAACACTTGTTGCTACTCGAAACTGGTTACATGGTTTTTTTCAAACTAGTAATATATTTTTGTGTACATTTAAATATTATTTCAATTTAGTTATTTTTTAATATTTAACTAATTGAAACCCATATAAATTGCATATGAAAATGAAGATGTTAAGACAACTTCCACAAGTTGATTCAGATATGCTTGATGAAGATGATCATGAAGTGTTAATACACATAGGTTTCATGAAGTGTTAGATACGCCATAAGTTTCATGATTTTTTAAGGAGTTTATTTTTTACATTTTTATGGTTGGAATATTGTCATATTTTTTGTGTTTTATTGTGATCATTGCAAAACAGTTAGGTTAATATTTCTATTTAGATATTTATACTTTTACTTGAAAAAAACTTAATAAATATTATAAAGATAATTTTATTTGTGGATTTGATTAACAAGTAGTAACATTAACACCATGTAATATTGTTTTATTGATATTTATGATAATATTTTTAAATTATAATTTATAATTTAATTTAATAATTATAAAAAAATATATAACTTCTAAAAAAGTGGGCTGGCCCGTCAAGCCTTTAGCCCACGTACTTGTGGGTTGGGCCGACCGTTTTCTGGCCCACACCAAAAATGGGCTAGCCTGGCCTGACCCGTAAAATGTCAAAGCCTGTATGGGTTAGCTCGGATGGGGTGGGCTAGCCCATATTGACAGCTCTATGTACTGGACATCCATATCTCTAGTAAGGTTGCAAAATGAGAGAACGGATGATATTTGAGCATTATTCCTGCTCCTTGTTATGATAATATTTTAGCAAATGCATAACATTTTTTTTTTATAACCGAGAAATCCGTCTGTGACCCGCCGCCCTTTAGACCAATCACAGCCTTCTAAACTCGGTGGATAATGGGCCCGACCCTCTACCCTTCTCCACTTAAATACCGGGCTTCGCTTTGCATGCTGTGGGGTTTGAACCTGCGACCTACGTCACAAATCCTCCACCTTTTGGCACTCAAGTAACTTCTTTATTACAGATAGCAGTATAACCTCAACGTACTAAATCTCTTTAATACTCCAGAGAGACCAAGTATTCTGCAACTGAGCACTTAGATTCCCAAGGCAGACCACTAAGAATAAGCCTAATGCAAAGAAACCTAAACAAGTAAACATATCCGAAAAAAAAGGGAAAAGAAGGCCACACAGAACATAACTGATTATGTAAAAAAAAAAAAACGCAAGAGACCAACATATGCTCGACACCCATCTTGTTTTTATTGCTAAAAGGTTATAATATTGATAATCCAGTAACCAGAAGGTGCTGCAGAAAATTTGCAGAGGAGTAATACTACTGACAAAGTAAAGAACAGAAAAAAAATCTTCCATGGCTTATGTGACATTTGCAGTGGCCATGCTACACCAAAAAACAGTATAGAGATACATCTGTACTTAATTTTCGACTGCCTAATACCCATACAAAAGAAATGGAGAAGTTTGAAATGAAAACAATTAGACTGATAAAGCACATCTCAAGGTGTTCCCGTTAAGGGGCTCATAAGCTCCAAATAAGATGCACCTAGACCTCAAACATTTGGTCTTTTTTTATGATTGTTCTCTGCTAGGAGTTTACTCAAACATAAAAGTATGGTAACAAGTCTCAATTGAAATCCGTTCAGGATAAAGAAAACACATTAGTTTTGGACCTTGCAGTGATATACTGTTAGTGATACTCATATTTATTTCCACATGCAAAATAGCATTTGGTGATACTTTTTATATCGAGGATTTCAAATCAACAGAATTCGCACATGCAGCCTGAGATAATTTAGACAGTGATGCAAATATTTCAGCAAGAGGACATATGTTGCATTCCCCAAAAAGGTTCCCCATGCTTTCTACCTAATCCAACTAGCCTGCTAAGAGAACAGGTAACATTCAATTTGATATGCCAATCATTGTGAAAAAACTCTTGTGTAACTGGAGTGGAATTACAAGAAGTAGATATGAGCTGCAAAGTAATACCACATGTAATGACATAGACAATATGGAGAAATAGGAACAGAAGAGCCTTAGATGATATGGAGCTCTTTTCTTCTTCTTTTTAAACTGCTGGAGCACATAAAGCATTCCAATTCATTGGTAGAAAGAAATAGTTCTGGTTAGCATCTTTATATACTTCTTGTATGGTGGAGGTCAAAAAACTTTTGCAACAGAATATTTTTATTTATTTACTATTTATTGATGAGCAAAGAAATCTCGACTCATTTACAAACAGAAAACCAGAAAAGAACTGTTGCCAACTAGACCAGGCCAAGACATATCTAGGCAATGGCAAGTGGTCAATATAAGTATTCCAGAAGTAACTCTCAAAATATTGGTATAACAAGTTTGGATGAGAATAAAGCAAAAAAATAACCAGAACGAGTTAGATTTATCCGAACTGCATTTCTCATCCTCATACAAAATCACTAATAACTGTAGTCTCATTAGATACCTAAGATTTTAAGCATTCTTAGAACTTATAACACAGTGATGGTTTCATTACAAGGCTTGAAGATAGTAGAAAAGCTCATACAATCCCTGCTTATAAAGCTCCATCTATAATTTCGAAATAAAAGCAGGTTGGCTACTTCATTGGCACAACGTACTACCACAAGTTTTGGTGCATCGCAGCATCACCGAGGAAGAAATAATTATTTTCAGATCTATTACCAAGTAGAGATCCATGATAGGAAAGCCTACTGATTCCATTTTACCGAATTTACTGTACGAATTTGAGTATTTCGCACCGTACACAGCTTAGACGACCAGAAATAAAAGAAGGAAAACGGAGTCCAAACAAATGTAGAACTACTTTCAAATATTAACAATCATGATCCGAGAGATATTCCACTAATTTTTCAGATTCAGCCATTAATATTTAACCTGAGGACCTACTCTTAGACCAGATCGAAGCAATTTTATCATATATTTCAAATCGATGAAACACATTAATCACAACAATCAACTTCAAATCGGCGAATCAAACTCAATTCCTTCATATTTTCACCAGCATAACCACAAAATACGCAATAAAAAGTACGTATCACCAGAAAAATAAACATAAAATACGAGATATTACCTTGGGTATCGCGGAGACAGAAAACGCGCAGAGACGAAGGAGAAGAGGTTTTCCATGTTCCAAAGCCCTTATTGTTCTCAACTGAGAGACCGATTCGAACATTCTGGTGCTGCTTACACTTGTATGGCAAGTTACAGAGCTCGCGGTATTGCAGAGACAAAGAGCGTGAGAGAGAAGACTGAGCGTTGGAGTAAGGAGTAGCACAGCTCGCACTCGCAGCCATTTGCAACAAAGGCAATGCAGAGAGATCTCTCCAAATTTTTATACTTATTAGCCAATCACATTCTATATATGAGTCTTTTGGCAGGTGGAAATTTAAGGATAGTAATAATAATCTCCGAGATAAACTTTGGAATTAATTTTGTTCTCATATTTCATTTAAGGTATTACCTAATTTCGGAATTATTTTATTTTATAATTTATAATTAGAATAAAATAATTTTCCAATTCACGAGATATTCTTGCTCGACTATAAAAACAAAAAAAAAATCCCTTTATTTAAAATTTTCAAAATTGAAATTGAAGTTATGTTTAAATAAAGTAATTACTCCCTTGTCCTATTTTATGTGACCATTTTCCTTTTTAGCCCATTTAAAAAAGAATATAATTTTACTATAATTAAAAATAATTTAACTTTAAAGTTCTCCTTGTTATCCTAATGAAATTAATCTCAACCACGTAAATATCAAAGATTGTTTTAAAAAATGACAAATTTAAAATATTTTTTTAAAAAAAAATACTATGTCAAATCAAAAAATATCACGTAAAATGATGAGATGGGAAATAATAAAATTATGGTGGCAATACGCTTATCTAAAATGGAGAATGAGTAGAGCACGGAAGTTTTATTAGCTGTTTAAGTGCGGCAATTGGGCAAGTTAAAGAGTGAAGTCAAGAAAAACGTGATTTTTGTTATGGAACGAGGATAATGACTGCCACTAGCCACTCACCAATCTGTCATTTTCTTTTTATGTTTGTGGGGTTATGGATAAGGATAGGTATTTTATGATATGACCACCAAACCTGGAATACAAAAAATATCTTTTCTTATTTCCATTTTGGCAGTTTCCCTAGTATTGCCACCTTTCATTACCTAACCTCATCATTATTCTTTTATTATTATATACGCAATAAAAAAAAATGATCTCTTTGGCAAAGATAACCTTTTTAGAAATAAATAAAACAGTACCCAAAATTGAAAAAAGAAAATAATAGTACCAAACTACCAAAAATTGGAGACCACAAACGACGCCTTATCCATTAGGTTCACGGGCGCTGTTGTATCACTTATTAATGTCAACTATGTTTTTCAGAAAATTTATGCAAGATAATCTCACGCTATTTGTTGATGTTATTTCCCCAAGTACAAGTTAAATCCAATTCTGGCTACTGTCCTTCGCATTAATGGATTTTAATATTATACTTGGAAATTAAATTCGTTTATGATCACTGAGGCGTGAATATTGAAGGGATTAAGCTTCTTTTCTCTCCATGTTTTGTAGGCACTTTAGTATCAAGTGTTTCTTTTCTCATTTTAATGCAGTCAGTAATTTAAAAGCAGCCACGGAACCACAGTTATTAGCTCCCAGAACCAATTACAATAATAAAGAAACATAACTTCATCGGACTATGACTGCACGCTCAACCTAATCCAACTATTTCTTTTTGTAAATCATTGAGTTTCTCGTCCTTAGCATGGAACCAATTTACCTTTTCTTTGACAACTTACAACTTATTGTAACCTAGCTGATTATGCGGTTGGAGTTTCTGTTGTTTAGTCAACAACCCTCAGGGCCCAGGCAGCAACATCTTTCTTTAGCTTGAGCTTCCAATGTTACATTCTGAACACACCATATTTTGTAGCTTCTGGTCCACGATTCAAGGTAGCAGAGATGCAAAGGCTCAACATTCTCCTCGTGTCTGCTGGATCAATTATGCCATCATCCCAAAGCCTAGATGTGGCATAATATGGGCTGCCCTCTCGGTCATACGCCTCTACAACTTCCGCCTTGAACTTTTCTTCCTCTTCCTTTGTCCACTGCAACACAATCATGTCAATTACTGGACACAATGAAAATGATATATATATATATATATAGGCATCAATGTCTTACCTGAATTCCCCTCTTTTTCTTGGTGGCTCTCTCTACTTGAGCAAGGACTCCAGCAGCCTTATAAATCCATGATTAAAATGAGAATTACAAGAGTCCACTAAAGTAACAATAATTACTACGCATAGCAACATATTCAGAATTTGGGAAGGGGCTAATGCTTTCACAGATAAGCATTGCTTTTCATTCACACTATTCAAGCAACACAAAGAACATACCAATCAAATGCATCTAGCAAAAATCATTTGGGTTCAAATAAGTAGAACTAGTAAAAGTAAAGCAATGTCATCATGCATATAGATATTGAGTTAGTTGGAAGCAATGTGTCACAGAAGAGATACCTGAGGGCCTCCCATTACAGATATTCGAGCATTTGGCCAGAAGAACATGAAATTTGGACTATATGCACGTCCACACATTGCATAATTGCCAGCTCCAAAGCTTCCACCAATAACTACTGTGATCTTGGGAACCTGATACCATATATTTGCAAGAAATGTTAATTTCTTCAGAATATTCCTCAACAATAAGACTGAAATCATTACTTTAATAGAGGACAGCTTAAATGATCGAAGTAAAGTACTGATAAATTGAATCATAGAGTATGGATAGTTGCTATGAAGACTCAGAGTTCCACAAAATGTTCTGATGATACTTTGCCAGCTTGAGTTCAAAGGCCAAAATAAATCCAAATTTATGACATTTCTAAGTTGAAGCTTACCTTCGCACAAGAGACTGCCATAACCATTTTAGCTCCAGCTTTGGCAATACCACTTGCCTCAGATTTGGACCCAACCTACCAAATTAATTAACATCTTAACCTCATTTTCAAGACAGGCCTGTATCCAAATGAAAATCTCCAAATAAAACATAGCTAAGAAGCACATTTTTTCAGATTTCCGAAATCTAAACCCATTGTGAGATGCCAACCAGAAATACCCCTGAAATCACATAAACCACTCATTCCTCCCTATAGCATCTGACCACCCAACCAACTGAATGTGTTTCAAGATGCTGATAGAATTTTAAGTCAGACTGTCTCTAAAATAGACTAATATCCTTTTTCTGCTTCTGTTCCTTTTGTTCTTTCATTAGGAAGTAATGGCTTTCAAATCACATGTGAAACATGGCTCAGATGTATATAGGCTATAAAAAGTGACAGGTCATGTAAAAGAAACAGATAATTTTGATTAATCCTTGTACAAATTTTGCTAAAGCCTTGCAAGATTCATCATTAAGTGTTTCATTATGTACCATAAATATCCATCTATGGGATATCAGTAAGTAGTTATTTCACATGAATATACAACCACTTGTCATGAGGAACTAGAGCAGGTTGGATTGAGTTTACTTGCTTTCCCCCCCTAGTTATAGTCAATAGCAATTGATTAAAGCAAGTTTGTATCAAACACTTATATCACAGGAGGAGAAAAAAAATGCTTACCATAAATCCAGTAATATTCTGAAGGAAGATCAGAGGAATGTTACGTTGAGTACACAATTCAATAAAGTGTGCCCCTTTCTGAGCAGATTCCATAAACAGTATCCCATTGTTTCCAAGGATCCCTACTGGCTGTCCACAAATTCTTCCAAATCCAGTCACAAGTGTCTGTATGTATCAACGAGTACGCTCAGAAAACAAATGAATAAATAACTGAAGACAAATGAGAGACAGCTGTGATTGGTTAAGGAATAAAAAGGCCTCACAGTGCCATACAGTTTCTTGAATTCATCAAATTCACTTCCATCGAGAATGCGAGCAATAATTGAACGAACATCAAAGGGCTGTTTGAGGTCTGTTGGTGCAATGGTGCGAAGTTCTTTCACGTCATACAGAGGTTCTTTATAATCAGCTCTAGTTTGTCCAGATACTTCTGGACCACCAGCCATGTGCAGGTTCTTAACAATATCCCTTCCTATAGCAAGGGCATGCAGTTCATCTGCAACACAGGATATTAGATGCCATCATTGTATCAGATAGCATCAAGATCGGCAGAAGACACCACGAGCATAAATCAAAAGTATGAATCCAGGAAATGGAAATACAATCTGAAAGATTAATAGTGTGAGGAGATTTTACCATGGGCAAAGTAGTCAGAAACCCCTGATGTCTTACAATGCACAGTTGCACCTCCAAGGTCTTCTGCAGAAACTTCCTCACCAGTTGCTGCCTGATAAAAGTTTTCTATCAGATAGACATTATGCTCACAGAATGCAGTTAACTGAATTAGTAAAATCTCTAATGATTTATAAATCTTAATTATAGTAAAAGATATAAATGTTTTACAGAGAAAAAGAAGGTTAACTACTAACCTTTACAAGAGGAGGTCCAGCCAAAAATATGGTACCATTCCCTTTGACCATGACGCTCTCATCAGCCATTGCAGGAATGTAAGCTCCTCCAGCAGTACAAGAACCTAACACCAGTGCAATTTGAGGAATACCTTCAGAGGACATCACAGCTTGATTGTAAAATATTCTCCCAAAATTTTCTTTGTCAGGAAAAACCTCGGCTTGCTTTGGAAGGAAAGCACCACCACTATCAACAAGATATATACATGGTAGTTTGCATTGAGCTGCAATCTCTTGTGCCCTGAGATGTTTCTTGACAGTTATTGGAAAGTAACTTCCACCTTTGACTGTAGGATCATTTGCCACCAACATACAGAGTCTCTTATGTATTGTTCCAATTCCTATAACTATCCCACCAGAAGGTAATGACTCTTGGTACAATTCATGACCCGCAAGCTAAATTCTCCATAATTTTAGAGCAAGAAAAATACATATCAGGATACTTTCTGAATAGAATTTAAACAAAAACAAGTATACTCAGCCCCAATCACAGAGATCAATAAACGAAGACAAATGGTATTTTTATGCTTGAAGTGCAGGCAGCATTCTCAAGTACCCAATTTATCAGAAAGGGGTCATAGTAGACATCTACTCTCAAATATTTTGCATAAACTCAAGTATATTAGTTCCTCAAGACAGTGAGTAATTACCATGTGTATCTTATGAAATTCATGATTCAGCTCAAGAGAACTCGAGAATGAACAAGCTGGATCAAGTGTGCTAGCTGAATGATGCTAATCACACAAACAGTAGTTTTACTATCTGGCTCCTTTCACCTTAGATTACGATAAAAACCCAGCAAGAAAACAAACAGCAAAACTGATTCACTGAATCCAACTTTAACCTAGAAGGGAAGGGAAAGTTCTGTGCCTTCTACTTCACTGTGAATATGAAAAGATAGTTCGGCGTCATACCATCCTATATGACAGTATAAGTACTTAAGCAGGCTCCTATTTAGTTATGAATAAGATTACTGTTATCAGCCTCATATCATTCACAATATCAATATATTAACTTGTAGAATTTGCAAAGTCTTTTTGCTCATGTGAATCCTACCAATGAATGCAACTGACTTGTTAGTGTATTTCACAAGCAGATATTTCGTTAGAAGATAAGCAACAGTACTTTTAACAAACAAAATTGTAATTGGTTGAAAGTGTAAGAGCTCAGGAAAACAAAAAATTAACCTGACAAAGCTCAAGGAATGAAGAGCCAGGGTCAATAAGGCGATCAATCCTCTCTCTAGGAAGAAGCTTATTCCTACTCCGATGCCTCTTCACAGCTTCTGGTCCTCCTCCTTCCATAACCTAACAACACAACACAAAACAAATTCACAATTGAAACAATCACATCTCGAAGTAAATAGAAACATCTAGAACCATTATATAACTGAGAATGTAAAAGAGGAAACCAGAAAAAATAACCTTGAGAATGTGAGAATGAAGCTGTGAAACAAGTTCATCCATGACCTTTGAGTTTCGTGTATACGAATCGGAGTTCCGGTCGAGAGTGTCGTGTAGGATTCCGATGGAGCTATTTCGGGTCGAAATGAGAGTAGTTGGGTACATCCGCCATGGAATCAAGCATTGTGAAGCTAATCTCCTCGTAGTCCAAATTCGCAGCATTCTCTTTGATTGCCTTTTTTTTTTTCTTTCCTTTTAGTTTGGACTTTGGATTAGAAGTTTTTTTAAGTTATATATAGGAGACTCCTTGGGCAGCTACAGACTACAGTATAATGCATATCCGATCCTCCGTGGACGCGCCTCAGCAAGTAGATAAAACGTGCACGACTTTGGGGATAAATAAATTAAGAGAAAATTACACCAATACAAGAATTTTAAAAAAGAGTTTATAACTACGTTTTAAAAAAAAAACATAAATATTAGGGTTTGGCTATATTTTTGTAATGAAACTAGTTTAAATGATAAATTATCTATAATATTCCGAAATTATCCTTATTTGCCATCTTTTATTATACTCTGCTTTTAAAATATAAATCTCCTCTCAAAGTTTATAAAATCAAAGAAAATTTCAAGCAACAATCATCTTTGTGTGTAGCAAATCAGTGTAATTCCTGCATAAAGCATTTTTTTTTCTTCCTTTAAACTTTTGCTAATAAAAAATAATGATTAAGATACAAATTTCATGTCCTTGTATTAATTCATAAGCTATTGTACCTTTTCCAAACACGAAATTAACGTAAACTTCACCTCAAAATTTAAGAGTTCGATTGTAATTTATAAAAAATGCAAAATACAAAAACATATAGTTTCTTTTCGAGGAAAAAGAAAAGAAATAAATTGTTCTACTTTTTTATTTTCAATTTTGAAAATATATGTTCACTTAAAGCTTAAAGGGTAAATTTTGTTACTTCAACTTCTGCAATCTGCCCTAGCTAACAAATACACATTCCACAGAGTTTGATACTATTGAAATTCAGAGAGAAAAACTGTATATTTCATATTTTTGGAAAAACTTACTTACAAAGATGAATGTGTATCTATATATATACAAGTATAGAAGCTTCTAGATTTTAGACTACTCATCTAACAAACTCTAACAACTTAACTGACTAATCAAAAAAATAGTTACTATTCTAACTAACTATCGATTTACTATTCTAACTAACTATTTAGTATCTTCAATATCCCCCCTCAAGCTAGATGTATTGAAAACATTCAAAACACCTAGCTTGCTTAACAAAAAATCATGTTGAGACCTTCCTAATGCCTTGGTCAGTAGATATGCCTGTTGATCTCATGTGTTGATGTAGCAGGTTTTGATTAGGCCTCCTTGAATTTTTTCCCTAATGAAATGACAATCAATTTCAATATGCTTTGTTCTCTCATGAAAAACAGGATTTGCAGCAATTTGTAGAGCAGCTTTGCTATCACATATATAGTTGTAGGTGCATCCAACTTCATTCCAATCTCTTTGAACAAATTTGTCATCCACACTACCTTAGCAGTCAGGGCGGCTAGGCTCCTGTATTCTGCCTCTGCAGAACTGCGAGACACAATGTTTTGTTTCTTAGATTTCCAAGCTATCAGTGACTTCCCATACTTTAACAAATAACCAGTAACATATCGTCTTGTAGTAGGACATGCAGCCCAGTCTGCATCACAGAATCCTGTAAGTTGTGGCTGTTTATCAGAACTCATCAGCAATCCTAAACCTGGTGTCATCTTAATGTATTTAACAACCTTCAAGGCTGCATTCCAGTGAGATGACTTTGGCTTTTGCATAAACTGACTTAAACATTGCACAGAAAAGGCTATGTTAGGCCTAGTATTAGTGAGATACAACAACTTACCAATTAGTCTTTGATACCTGCTCACATCATCAAATAACTCATCACTATTATCTTCAAAAAAATCTGCACTAGTAAGCTTCATATTACATTCTAAAAGTGTACTTGAAGGTCTAGATCCTGCTAACCCAACCTCAGATATCAATTCTAAAGCATACTTCCGTTGGTTCATTATAATACCTTGTGTAGACCGACAAAATTCAATTCTAAGGAAATATTTTAACTCCCCCAAATCCTTGATCTTGAAATGATGATGAAGTACATGTTTAGTGTCTTGAATTAACTTGGGATCATTGCCTGTAATCAACAAGTCATCTACATAAACAAGTACAATTACCAATCATGTCCCTTTCCTTTTAGTAAACAAAGAATAGTCTAGATGACTTTGTGTATATCCGAATTGAGACAAGGCTTCAGTGAGCTTGGCATTCCATTGTCTTGAGGCCTGTTTCAAGCCATATAATGACTTGACAAGCTTGCAAACCTTTTTCTGCCCTTTGCAACTAACTTGTTCTTTTCTTTTACCACCAAATCCTTTGGGTAACTCCATATATATTTCCTCAAAAAGATCTCCTTACAAAAACGCATAGAAGACATCCATTTGATATATTATCCAATTTTCAGTAGATGTTACAACAATGATTGCCCTTACTGTCACCATTTTCACTACAGGTGAAAATGTTTCGTAATAGTCTATTCCTTCAGTCTGCCTGTACCCTTTTGCCACTAGCCTGGCCTTGAATCTGTCAACTTCCCCATTTGCCTTGTACTTAATTTTGAAGACCCATTTGCAACCTATGGCCTTCTTCCCTGGTGGTAATTGCATCACTGTCCAAGTACTATTATCCTCTAGTGCATTAATTTCCTGTCTCATAGCTTGCACCCATCTGTCATCCTTAACAGCCTCTTCATAACTTCTAGGCTCAGTTTCTATAGACATTTCAGTCATGTAGGCTTGGTATGAAGGAGATAAATGGGAATATGTTATATAGTTGGCAAATGAATAAGGATGTGAAGAATCAATCACCTGTGTAACATAATCCTTTAGCCAAACAAGTGGATGAGAAGATCTGGTAGAAGTCCTAGGTCCTACATCAGGCATAACCTCAGGGCTTAACTGTGGATTAATCTCTATATCATCATCATCAGGTACAACATCACTTTCACTACTATCTTGTTGTTGTGGATCATTCCTTAGCTGGTTAGGATCACATAACACATGATCTTGTACAACTGCTCTGAATGTGTCATGCTTTTCAATGTCATCAAAAGGAAGTTGTTGGCTTGCAAAAATTGGCATATATTGATCTTTAAGATTGCTGAATGGAAAAATAGACTCCTTAAAAATAACATCCCTATTGATTATGAATTTCTTCAGACTTAAATTGTATAAAATGTATCCCTTCTGAGTGACAGAATACCCTATCATAACACATGCATCAGCTCTAGGATTAAACTTATCATTCTTAACAAGCTTAGTTGCATAGCATAAACATCCAATGGTTCTCAAGTGATGAAGCTGTGGCTTTGCTTGATGAAATACTTCATATGGTGACTGCGTATGCAGTACCTCAGTGGGCATTCTATTTATCAGGTACACTGCTGCCAAAACACATTCACCCCAATACTTAATAAAAATGGACCCTTGAAATCTAAGAGCTCTTGCCACCTCTAGGATATGTTTGTGTTTCCTTTCGACCACTCTATTTTGTTGTGGAGTGTGAGGACAACTACTCTCATGAATAATTTCGAAAGATGTAAATAGTGTGCAATAATCTTTATTGAAAAATTCAGTGCCATTGTCTGATCTCACCTTCTTAACCTGTCTGTTAAACTGATTTTTGACCAAAGCAAGAAAAGATTTCAAAACACCAAACACATCACTTTTAAACCTCAACATGTATAACCATACTATTCTTGAATGAATAACTGATGTAGTTTGGCTATTAGGTAAGTATACCTTTCTTCCTACATTCTTATTAGAGCTACTAACAATGTCTAACATCTCAAGCTTAGAAGTCATGTGACATGTGGCTCCTGAATCAACTATCCATTTATTGCTGTTACTAATTCTGTTCTGTTCAGCATTAGCATTTACTATATCCATGTAACCATCTTCACCCGCAGATATTGAGAAAACAACAAGGTCATTGGAATTGGGATTACCTGCCATATTGGCCACTTCTGCATACTCTTCTTCTTCTTCAGCAAACAGCTGCATTATCTTCTGATACTGAGTTGGAGTATATGATTGTCTCATAGCTAAAGCCTGCAAGTTAGTTCTAACAGAATGAAGACTATTTGAACTCTTCATTCCAGAAGAACCTACAGATTTGTCCCCAAATGCATCATGCTTTAAATCTTCAACACCATTTTCAATTTGTACATTGTTTGCAATGCTTTTTCCTTTGTTCCCATTCATTCCTCTACCAGGATTTGTAGCTCCATATTCTTTATGTCCTGATTTCTTCTTAAACCTCCAGTCATCAGGGTAGCCAATGAGTTTGAAACATATGTCTCGAGTATGACCATGCATTTTACAATGATCACAAAATAAGTTCCAATTAACTTTTTTCTTTGCATAGTAACCCCCTCTACCAGTGTCTAATTCACCCCTATTTCCATTATTACGTGTGTTTCTAGAGTTGAAAGTACCTCTTCCTGCATATAAAGTTGTAGCCTCACCCATATGATTACCTGTGTGCATTTCTGAAGTACTTCTTTGGCTTTCATCAGCCATTATCATTGCGTATGCCTTACTCACACTTGGTAATGGGCTCATCATCAAGATATGGCTACGTGCATGACTGTATACTTCATTCAGCCCCATTAAAAAAGCAAACAGACGCAAGTATCTCATGTGATCTACATATATTCTAGATTTATCGCAACTACAAAATGGAGGAGGAACAAGAGCATCAAATTCATCCCACATTAACCGTATCTTAGTAAAATAAGCTGAAACATTTGAATTACCTTGGTGAATTGTACAAATCTCTCTATGAAGTTGATAGATCCTCGATCCATCGATCTTATCAAAATGTTCCTTCAGATCTGCCCATACTGTTTCTGTATCTGAAGCATAAACGATCCCACTCAATAGCTCTTTTGAGACTGTATTCATAATCCATGCAAACACGAAGGCATTGCACCTTTCCCATTGTTCCTCCAATTCGAGTGCATAATCAGTTCGTCGACATGTCCCAAGCACGAACCCCAATTTGCTCTTTGCCCTGAGGTTAATCACCATGGATCTGCTCCATAACGCATAGTTCTCTGCTTCAGTTAACTGAACTGTAGTCAATACACAGCCAGGCGTATCTGAAGGATGAAGATATAGATGATGGTTTCTCCT